GAGGAATAACAAAGAAGCCAGGCTGGAAAAATGAGAAAATCAACTGGGACTGCGCTTTGTTACACAGCAGCTGGCAAGTAAAAGTTTGTTAAAATATCGGGGAAAATAGAAAATACAAGTAGGCAGCAAGAAATGTAATTTGGAAAAGGGAGTAGCCATTATAGCAAGGACATGCAAACACAAAAAGAAGAAAATATCAAGATGCAACTCACTTCTGCAGGTGTCAGGAAAAAAAAGAGCTATCAGTATAATGCCATCCAGCTGTAATGCCTGAGCCACTTCTGAACAGGACTTTTTCAATGCATTTCTCCATCCTATTCTTACAATTTTCTTTGCCGTACTACAAGCGCTTTGCTTTGCTGCATATTTGACACATCAGACTTCTGTGCTGTGTCCAAAATCACTATCAACATTTTTATTTCACACCAGAAATTGCCAGAAAAAGAACTACTGTTACATTTGTGAAGACACCAATAATTGTACCTAATTTGAAATTCAAGGTAACTGAAAGGAAACAATCCAAAGAATTCTTGGATTTATATTCAAACCCAATTCCTTATTTAAAGAATGCATATGTGTTTGTTTAATATCAATATAAGCTTCAAGTATATAAGAATATGAAAGAAGTTAGGTTTTATTTTTTACATGTAGGTAGGCTTACATTTCCATCTGTTAGAACTGCGTGTACTTAGATCTATATTCTTTCTCTTCTGCAAAAAGCATTATTCAGAGTAGCTATTATGATCTTATAAAATGCTATTACTGTACAATTACTTGAATCTAGTTAGATTCTCTTTTAGCCTTCTGGAAGATGTGACCATTCAAACCTGCCATATGCTGCACAAACTCATTCAGAAGACAACCATGAAATTAACTACACAAAACTGCCCTTGAGAAAGAGAGGGGAAAGGGTAGCAAACCTGAGTCCTTGGTGGCACCTTTGTGTTTATTTCCTCACTCCATGTTTAGCACAGCTTCATTCATCGTAGTTACAGAAAATCTTACAGCGGCAATTTATTATCATCTGCATTGTTGGTTTTTTTTTTGTTGTTTGTACAGCTGTGTTTCTGAAGTCTGAAAATATCCTTCATTGGTCAAAAAAGCCCTTCCTATCACGTCACATTCTTTAAATAATAATGTATTTTTCTTTAACTTATTCACATCATCAATAATAAGTATTCCAGGGTAGATTACATAAAATGGAGTCTCTCATAGATAATTTTTTTCTTTGAAAATAGTTCATTAGATATTGACTAGAACTGATTGAAATTTCAATTCATTGCTAGTAATTATAAAAAAGCATGACATTTTCTTCAGCTTCAAGCAAAATTCTGGCAAAATACATTTTTTAAGCCAGCGTAGCAGATTTTGATCACAGGATTAAAACAAGCAATAGTAGAGAAGTGCCGCTTTCTTCATGCAGGCTTCAAGCACATTAAAAATATCTTGGAAGTGTACAGGCACTCCTGTATTATCACTGTGCAGGAGTGGCAGCATTAGGTATTTCTTCTATCAACAGAATTTATACAAATCATAAAACTAAAAAAATGGGAAAAAAATCAACAATGAAAGGGAACATGGAGCTGGGAAATGAAGGTCCAAAAAACAATATGAGTTTTCCGTCCCTTTCAATTAACACAAGAAACTCTGGTGGGTTATTTTGTTCGTTGTTGTTTAATTCAGAAGATACAATAGTAAAATTAAGTTGAAAGAAAATAGGTCCAGAAATATATTTAGAAAAGATAAAAGGATGCTTAGTTATTAGGACTGTTTTTCTGGAAGTTACACAGTGGAATTCTTAATGGAAATGACTACAACTGAGTTGTAGAGTGGTTAACTTGTTAATATTATCAGCCATGACAGTCCGTGGTCATTGCTAAATACCCAGGATAAGGCTTGTCTTTCTGGAAATAGAACTCAGTCCTTAACAGAAATTATATTTCTACATTTTTATTTCAATTTCTATTATATTTCTATATGGACTTGAAGAACAGCTTCTTTTTAGAAGAGCTGCTTACTAACCAGGCCCAGGAACCAAAATATAATTCTATTTGGTAACCTTGACTGAACAAACCAGTTGCTCTACCCTTTAAAAGTTAACCATGAGCATAAGATCACATGACATTCCTCAGGATTTTGAATAAAAGTAATGGTTGCTGTAAGTCTCTCATTATGTCACTCAGAAAATGCATTGTCAAGTTCTTGTCGTCTCTCATTTTTTATGGAACACACATTCCCTATGATGCCATTATCCATTTTGGTACGTTATTTTTCATGACAGTATCAGTCTTCTAAATAAAATTGGATTTTATATGGTACATTTTTAGCATTTTTCTTTTTCTTTTATTTTATATATGTGTATGTTAATGCATACATAGCAGATTATACCCTTGCTGAAATATAACCGTCTGGGGAGAAAAGTATTGTAAAATGAATATTTTTATTAGTGTCTTTGGTATTTATCTACAACAATAATATCATTGATCTGAAGTTAATGCTATTTAACACAACACGTTTTGTTACTCTTAGCACTGACAAAACCATAGAAATTATCAATACTGAAACACTGACGTAGTTCTTAGAGACTTAATTTGTCAAATGTATCTTATGTCCAGCAGCATATAAAACTGCCATGCATAGTTAAGATGGTATGTTGACATCTTTTTTATATGAGAAGTATCATCTCAAAGAAGGAATTGCTTCTTAAAGATTACAGGTACAGAACATTTTTAGGACCTTTTGAGGATACCATCAGCACTGCTTTTGGATCACTGATAAACATGAAAAAGTCAAAACAAGCAAAAAAACATTGTTAAAAAAAAAAGAAACCATATTCACAAAGTAAGCATTAAGTCTTGATTAGTTTATTTCCTCTTCCATTCTCCATATTCTCTCAGTTTTAAGATCTTGTGACAGAGACTCCCACAAGGCATCAAACACCACAGAACCATACCGTGTTTTCTAAGTCCCTCAAGGTTCTCCATGTGATAATTACAATTTCATCTTCTTTAGGTTTTAATTCATTAACCATTATCTTTGGATTTAACTATTGTTCTACAAAAAGGGAGCACTCAGACATAAGAGCAACCAGCATTTTTTCTTCCATTTTCTGATTATACAGGGAAACACTTCTACCATTTCTATCATCAGCATTCAACTTACTTACCTTTTAAAATCTGCTTGGAGCAGGAGCTTTATGCTCCTGATAAACTCCAGAACAAAAGTCTGTTCAGGAAAGCCCAAGCATTTTTAGGCATGCATCATGTGATAATTGTCCTAATCTCTAAAACAAACAACATTTCATCTGTTTCCTTTGATAAAGTTTTTCATCAGTATGGTACCATGTTTCTTAAAGGAACATAAAATAAATGCTTACTGATCATATGTGCCTGGATATCCGTAGTTGAAGTGCTTAGATGACTAAGAGAAGCATGAATATTTCAAGCAGTGTACATCCAAAGTGTTTGAACCAAAGCTATAACATCTGCAAAAATGAACATAAAGTTGATGTTAGGATGATTAAGCAAATAGAAAGGCTATCCCGCAGTAGGAAATTAAGAACGTTTAGTTCATTTAACCTAGCAAAATAAAATTGCTGAGAAGTTATTCTTCAACAGCAGATGCCTATTTGTCATCTGTGATATGAAGTGAGAACGCTTTTAATTACAGAATAATGTTGGCACAAGAAGAATAAACAGGGCATAAATAAATTTAGATGTGAAATTGGAACAAACTCTTAAGCATCAGGGCATTTTGGCTCAAGAGGATGATGAAAGTGCAGCAGCTCTTAAACACAGAATGGTTATGAAACTTTTGAGAAGAAACACTGCGTGAACTGAGGGCTTGAATATGTATCCATAACTCATTTTCAGTGCTATCAATCAAACGCCTTCTTCAAATAGCAGTGTTGTGCTATGTGCCAGTATGTTATAGACCACCTTGTTTTGAAGCCTGAATCATAAGGCAGGGGAAAAAAAAAAAAAAAAAAAAAAAAGAACTAAAAGGTAATGTAGTCATCAATTAGATCCACATAGTCTTGGAGTTACTCAGACACTGAAGAACTGAAGAAATGTTTTAATAAGTGAGTTATGGCTAAAATGATTTAAATTGTCATGCTCAACTTAATGAAGAAAGGAAGTAATTTATCAAAAATTTATCAACGCTCATCTTTTCTTCCCCCAAAACTGTCAGTAAGGTACACTAGGAACAAACATTTTGGCCAATTCAAAATGTCTCTGTGTCAGGTACAGATGTGGTCCCGGTTGTGCAGGGATGTTGTGCATCTGTGTGACAAAATATCACACTTCAGAGCAGAATTTATGATGGAAAAGAATGAAGTAAGAGGAGTTGTAGGATAAATCTCACCTTCTCCTTTGTTTATTACCAAAACAGTCCATCTTTCCCACCAGCTTTATTTCTCAGGTACGTCCTGAGATGCCGTACCCGATCAAACAGAGGGCTGAAATAACACCCAAGCCTCAGGGGCAGAAAGCAGTTTGTACTTAGCTGTACACTGCAGTCAGCGTGGACTTCTCTGCCAGTTTTAGCATCTGAAGCTCGTAACCGTGCTGTGTCATTAGCTGCCTGCGGACACGGTAGAGATCAAATGTTGCAAAGTTCCCGATTCAATAAAAATACTCGAGGAACATTACGCATCAGAAAGCTTTCCCTATGGTGAGCAACACCGGAATGCAGTGACAGCGCTGTCAGTTCCACACGACGCCCGCGCAGCCAGCCTTCGCCCCCGCCTCTTTTCAGGAGGCGCGGCTGCAAAAAACGGCGGGAAGCGCGGGGCGGGCACTGCAGCGCGTCCGAGGGGCCGGCGGTCGACCACCCCGAGCGACCACAGCGCCACCGCTGCCCTGTGGACGCGCGCCGCCGCAGAGGGCTGCCCTCGCAGGTGGGCGGCTGCGGCGCGGCCGCCAGAGGGCGCTTTGTTCCGGCACGGCGCGGGCGGAGGCGGAGCGAGGCGGGGCGCGGCCCAGCATGCAGCGCGGCGCCGTTTGAATGGCGCAGGTTGCGGGCGCTGGCTCCCGGCCGTAGCCTCCTGTGACGATCTCTCCTGTCGGCGTGGGCGGTCCGGTACCATGAGCAGCGGGTGAGCGCGGCCGCGCGGACCGCCGCACCGGGAAGGTCGGCCGCAGGGAGTCCCTCGTGGCGGGGCCCCTCCTCGGCTCGGGGCGCGCCCGCGACGCCGCGAGACGGGCGGGGAGGGGCCGCGGCGGCCGGGCCTTCCGCCGGCTGCTCCCCGGGGTCGTTCGCTCGGGCGGGGCGCCTCTGCGATCCCGGCAGCCGCGGCGCGCGAGTGGGAGCCGGGCCGCCCCGCCAGGCTGCTGGGCCCTGGCGGCCTCCCCGTCGGTCTCGGCTGCGCCCGCGCGGGGCTCGGCGCGCGGCCCTGCCTCGGGTCCGTCGGGGCTCCGCTTCGGCCTTCTTCTAAAACGACGGCGTCAGCCGGCAGTCAGAACCGGCGTGTGCCCACGGAGCGCGGCGGGGTTGTAATGCTGCCCGGGGAGGATAATAGCAGGGGTGAGGCCTGCTGACTGGGCTCTGCGCCCTGGGTGTGACAGGTGCCTTATTGCAGTGCGGAGGAGAGGGAGGGAGCAAGACGTCTTCATTTGCTTCAGGAGCCTGTGTTAATTGCTTTCTTAAAAAGACTTCAGATCTCTTTTTCTGCTGTGCTGGAGAGGTTTGGCTTGTCGTTCAGTGTAACAAACTGAAAAGTGGAAGCAGTTAGAGACTGTGGGGTGGTTTTGTCAGGTTATTCTAGCAACGTGCTGTGCTTTGGAGCTAGGATGAGTGTGATTTGCTTAAAAAACTGCCCCTTTTTGTGAGATGAATGTTGTCTTTCTCACTGCCTCAGTTTCTGTTCTTCCCGCTGCAAAACAGAGCTGCAAAACAGAGCTGCAAACAGTAGCTGCAAACAGAGGACAAGAAGGGTGGTTGGCCTTGGTGGGAGAATTAAATGTAACAGATGGCAGAGAAGGGGCTGTCGGTCCTTGCTGGCTGGAAAAAAAAAATTGTTTCAGTTTAAAGCTGTTCCTTCATTATTAATCAGTGCATGTAATTTTGACTAAGGTGTCAGTAAGCTTATTCAAGTGGATTCAAGTTAGCTTTGTTTTTAATTCCTCAGCTTTATAACTGAGAACTTTTATTATGTTTTAAGAGTAGTATTAATAGTTAACCTCATACGAATATGTTTACATACATGAATATCCTGTGTTGTAGTGTTATACTAGTTTACTTGAACTACATCCTTAAGTTTTGCAGCTCGTCTTCTTGATGCATTTCAGTTAGAATAATAAGGATGTCTATGGATCTGTATCTTGATCCTATGGTAAACACCTTGAGTTTGAATTAAAGATTTTTTAGATGCTCTTGACATCTCATCATCAAAAGACACGCAGGGTAATATTAAGTGCAGTGCACAATGCCACGTGATCTCAAGCCATGAAGTATAGGCACAGGCTGCATTCAGCCTCATGAGGCTAGGTAGGTACCTGTAACTCCATTAGGTTTGGAGTTCCAGTGCACCTTTCTCAGAGTTTGAATTTAAAGTTCTTGCTAGAGATTGGGGTTAAATAGCGAATAGGAAAAAAAAAAATTACTGTGTTTGTTTTTTATGGATAATTTCTTAAAGCTTATTGACAGTATTAATGTGAGAGCTCCAAAACATTAGATCTCTGTTTCCTGCCTAACAGCTGTCAGATAGTCTTAACACAATAGAAGTTTTCCACCTTGCTTTTCCTGGAGCGTTAATAGCTGAAAATTAACAGGTAAAGAACATTGTTTTGTTAGTGGAGGACTGCTTCTATGATTCTACTTTCCAGTGCTTTTTAAAATTTAACATGCCTTTAAATTCTACTTCCACATGCAGAAAATAGTATGGTGCTTTTACTACTTTCACCTCTCCTGGACAAAATACTTTCCTAGAAGTTAAATGTCCATTTATTAGACTGTGTGAAGGAGTACTTTGCCCCATGCCTGGATTCATCCTCACTAAACTTTGTTGAACTACAACTTGTGATCGCTTCCAAAGCTCCATTATGACTGCTTATGGCAGCAGGCCCTGAACAAATTCTGTGCCTATGTAGTAGGAGGCTGAGCTTAAAAAATTGTAGCAATGTTAACTTGTCACTCAAGTAGTATTTCTATATGCAAATGTAGTTGATGTTAATTTTTCCCGTGTAGGTCTCTTCAATTGAAAGAAATGGCCTGATGGGTACAGTTAGCTGAAATTTGTGCCCTGGTGATGTGTAAGGCTTGTCTTGTAGTGTTGAACGAAAACAGTGCATTGATGATAATTCAAGGTTTTAAGGAATGCATTTCTTAAGATAATTCAATACATAACACTTACTGAACTGTCAGAGCATAATTACAAAGTCTTTTTAAAAAAATCTGTTTCCTAATGAAAGCATGTGGAAGGATGTGCAATCAAGAGACAGATGGATTCTGTAATATTTGTCAATCAGGCTTAAAATGGAAGGAAATGATGCCAAATTTACTCAATCTTCTACATCATAAGATAGCACTAATTTATTTTTCTAGACAGATTACCCTTTTGGAAGTAAATTTGGAATAACCATTATTGGAAATGTCTCATAAGCCTTTTACATCTGGCGGTAATTAGTAAAATTAGTTGCTCTTTCCTGGCTCTGTGATGTGTGCCAGCTTCAAATGCATTCAGAGCAGGCACCTCCTCTCTGTGGAGTAACAATTAATGAACTTTTCCAGCTGATTCAAATAAGGATCGATGTTGTCATCCTTGAGAATTGCTCTTGATATAACGTGAGGGCTGGGGGAGAAACCCCAGAACATCTGTGATGGCTAATGTATGTGGAATGCTGTAGGAAAAAGGAGCTTTTAAGAATTCTGGCAATGGATGGGGTGGGACAAATGATTCTTTTAGAGGCTGTTGCAGATGACTGAAACAAAACTTTCACGTTTGTTTTGCTGTCTGCAAAGTACTCAAGTCTGTGCGCTGTAAGATATCTGTTATGTTAAAACATGTGAAGGTTACATAACATGCACAGAAAAGTTTGTCCCCTTCTGGGGGCCATGCCCAGAATGTCAGCGGATGGGAGGGAGTGGCAGTGTTTGTTAATACTTGTCTTTGACAGCTATGCACTTGGAAGCCATTTAGTGCTGCCTTCCTTCATGCAAGTGCTGTGTGATTCTAGAGGCGTATTGCATCTGGGTTAGATCAGAGTTTTGTGGGGGATATTTATTTAAATAATTAGCACAGTATTAGAGCTGCTGGGAGAACTCTGCCAAGGTAACGTCCAGTGATTAGTTAAGGATAACCTGACTTCCCATTACACATGGTTGCTGTTATGCTGGTCATTCTGTTTCCTGAAAACTGAGGAGAGGGGAGGAAGGATTGTTATCTGCTTAGAAAAGCCCTTCGTTAAAGGGAGAAAATGGATGGAATGGGAGTCTGTCAGCATGATGAACTTGTGTGTTTCTATTCTGATTTACAGTTGTCACAAAGTGTGCTGCAGAACAGTTTAAGCTTGTATGTTAAAGGACTAAGGCTGAAGAGACTTCATTTTATCCTTATTTTTTCAGTCATGTGAAGCAGAGGAGTTGTATTAGCCTTAAGAAATAATATACTAGGCTGTTTGGAACAAATATAGCTAGCTGCACTCATGATGATGGGATTGTCAAAAACTCAAGAAGTCAAGGTATAAGTTGTGTGACCTGATATTTAAAAAAATATATATGCCTTTTTAAAAATTCTCCATATGTATAAAAAAATAGCAGGGGATGGCAGCGTCTGACTGTTCTAGAATATACCTGATAGTTCTCTTGACTGCTTCAATTTCCTGTAAAGCCCCTCTGTCCCCAGTGTACAGATTTTTAATTGCTGATCAGTGATCCTTATGGAACACTGAGCAGTCTGAGTGATGTAAAGCAAACTGTCATATATTCAGATCTTATTGTGGGTGGTAATTATTAGCTCACAGCCTGTAATTCTGTTTGTGAACCCAGAATTTCTTCGCACCTTCAGACATAGATGCTTTGCTCTATGTTCACCCCTAATCTTTGTTTCTGCTTATTGTTCATCACTGTTCTTTAATTTGTCAGTTAACCCTCATCTTTAGTTTCTGGTATAACCTGGTATTGCCAGCAGCCTTCATTTATCCCCTTCATGAGGTACTGTACAAATATTTCCAACTGCACAGTTTTTCTGCAGATTTCCAGCAGTGTTCGCTGTGGCAGCTGCTTAGATCTCTTATTGCTGTTAGGTATTTCTCCATGCAGAAACTTTCTCTCATCAATGAATTGCTTAATGTCTCGAGAGACCTCAGTGAAGGACTTCAGGAAGCTTTTTTGGAATCCCGGGTCTGATCTGTCCTTCAGCTCTCCTATATCCCATACTGCACTACTTTCTGTGAGTGTGCATCACAGGCTTGGAGAATGCCATTAATTCTTCAAAGCAAGACTCAGTGAGGTTGACTCTTTCCCAAGACATTATTTGTATCTACTAATTCTATTCTTAATTGCATTGTTTACCAATTTGTGCAACAGAGATGTCACTGAACCTTCCTTAAGGCCATCTTTAAATACTGACTGTATTTTCCTTTCGGCACCCTAGCAGCTCTACAGGAGAGGTTCTGTACCTCTCTTAATAACACAGCTATTTCTTCCTAGATTCATATGGCTTTTGGATGTATGCCATCCATTTCTATGGGTCTGTTGCTGTCTCCTTTGCTCATGTTTGCTGCTGCTGCTTTTAGATACCCCCAACAAAACCAACTTGAAAGACCACCCTAAACTGTAGGACAGTGAGCACAGATGTAAGGATATTTTACTTCACTGAACATTCCTTTGTATCTGATCATCAATTGGGCCTTTTGGGATTTCTGTTCCTGGCCTCTAAAGGGGGAGTCTGTAATTTTACATTCTTTTCCTGTTTCAGCTGGAGGCTTCATGCTCTCTCATCACATTTTATCAGTGTATAATCCTTATCTCTTTAAGGCATCATCAAGTTTTATGTAGAAAACTTACCTTTCTAGTGCAGATATTTTGACTCAACCTTAAGAAAATGACTCATATACTGAAACAGGTACTAACCCAGGATTCCTTGTTAAGACATTTTTCTCACCTTATGCTGTTTTCCACTCTTAATTCGAATGCATTTCAGTTTAATACTGTTGTTTTGTACATTAGGAATCAACTTTTTTCTTTGTATGAAAGAGGAGGGAATATGAGATAATTTATTAAACAGGCAAATAAGAAGCTGCTGCTCTGCATGGTTACAAGCTGTCATTGTCACAGCAATAGTCAGAAAAATGATTATTTAGGAACTGAAGTTAAGGACCTTCTTGGTTGTGACAGGCTGATGGGATTTCGCTTCAGTGGCAGTTGGTCCTCCCTGTCCTGGAGTGCTACAGAAAACCACTTGCCTGTATATACATACAGATCATCTGCAAAATAGAAATATTTTTTTTTTTTTTTACAAGTAGTAATACCCAGGTGGTATACTGAGGAGAAGTTGTGGGAGGGAATTGCCAACCAGGTAAGGGGAGATATCTAAGGCATTTTTTCATTCTGATTAAACTTGCCTCGTTCCTGAAAAATATGAAGTATTTTTATTTTCCTGTCTTTCCTCATTTGGAAACAGTTGAGAGCAACTATATTTCTTTAGATAGCAGATGAAATAGACTTGGAGAATTCTCATGAGTAATTTGTCTTATATTTTACATGAATTCCTGCATGTATGGTATCCTAGAGTGCAGGTGTACTGAACTGATCTGTAAACAAGATCCGTGTATCTTGGGGATGGCAAAGAGGGATTTTTTGCTTTTGGTGGGGAGCTAAAGGCGGGAATTCTGAAGTGCTTATCGGAGAGGTACTAACGAGGCTTCCAGCTAATGTTGCTGAACGGTAATGAATTGATTTGTTTATATAATCGAATATCTTGCAAGTATTTGAACTGTAGTTGCTAGTTGCATCTGAAGAAAGCTGGCTGTTTTACAAAATATGACCTGAGTTAATCTTTCCCTTGAAAATAGGGATTTGAGAGATTATGGCATCTGAGGCTCACAATGCTAAAAAACAGAAAGTACTGCATATTGAAGGTCGTCCTGTTGATCTCCCCAGAAAAAGAATCTCTTCTTCCACTAAAAAGATCATGAAGGAGGTAAGGTATTTCTGTCTTCCAGTGAAGCTGAAGTTAATATTCAAATAAAAGTTTATAGCTTTGCGCAATCTAGAACTGGAGACATAGCGGTGTTGAGTATGTTTTGTATTTAGATGTAGAATAGAACAGCAGTTATATCATGAGAAATATTGTTATAGGCACACAGGGATGACACAGATGTATCATGTTGTCCATATGAGCAGCAGATAGCAATTTGGTTCTGTTCCTCTTCTTTCCTGAAATCTTATCAGAAAAAGTTCTAGGTTAGGAATTCTATTGTCAAAAAGTTTTCCTTTGTTAAGAAACAGTAAATCTGAGAGGTGGGGTAGGAGAAATAGTTCTTAAGACATTGAAGTTTACTATAAACATTTAGAAATTCAAGTTCAAGCTGTTGCTTAATTTTCAACGGTTTTATGAATCTGTATGGTGTAACTCGAATGAATTTTCTTAGTCCTTCAGATTATTAACATTCTGTGCAGCCTAATTGGTATCAGGGTGCTTATGTTTCCTGTTGGTGAATCTAGGATAATCAAGCTAGTTCTACCTACATCAGCTTTCGTTTTTTTTGTTGCGCTTTGAAGAAATATTTTCTGCTGCCATCTTTCCTAGCATCTGCTAATCTGCTATATTGTTGGCCATTAGGTGTATATGAGAGACAGTTAATGTAACTTCACCATCAAATTCCAGAAGCTTTTTTGATACTAGTCACAGTTTTTAGTTCTTTGTCAGTCTCTGATGTTACAGTCCTACCTCTTCCAAAGACTTCGCAAACCTTTAGTTGACTGTGGTGTTGCAAGGACAGCTGTATGTCTACTTACCACTGTGAAATAATTTATAGAAATGTTAGTGTAGCTGTGCTTCAAACAGAATAGAAAAGGTGGCTGGGAGGGAATCCTTGGCAAATTTAGTCCATGATAAAGCAGTGATGCTGTTTGAGTCTTTTTAGTAATAGCCTGTCCTCCTTTGTTCCCTTTCTCCCAGGATAAGAAATCTCCAAAACAGCTGGCTTCATACACAAACAGGTAGGAGGGTCTTGCTGTTTAGAGTCTGAAGTTTCAGGAGGGAGTCAAGCAGGGAGGAAGAAGCAATTCAAATTTATTACAGCACCCAAATTGTCACAATGAAAAATCGTAACTGTACCGACAGTGCTTATAGTTGTCCCTTTCTATGATAATGAGTTAATTTTTTTTAAAAAAAGCAGGAAAACAGTATTAGTGGTAGGTTTTATTTCTGATGACTCAGTTGTCATGAGGCTATGTACTGATGGTGAAATGCTGAAGTAGCCTATAAGTTTACTGCCGAATTCATAATGATGTATTTTACCTTAATACAAAGTGTTGACTTACGCACAGAATTACCTTTACTAAAATACTCCTGTATTTTTGCAGAATAACAGTTGGAAAAACGGTGACCAGTCCCCTATCTCTCTTCAAAGCAGTACATTGTAAAAGAAAAGTCCATTGTTATACTGCAAAGCCTTGTTACAAGAAGAAACAGTTCCCTAAATCAAGGGGCTGTAACATGGCAAATAAAGAAAATGAACTGGCTTGTGCAGGGAATCTGCCAGCAAAACTGAATGACGGTCGTACACACTTGCTGAATTCTAGTGACTCTGGCTCATCTCAAACAGAAGGCCCCTCTTCCAAATACAGTGCATTTTTTTCAGAGGTAAGTTGAGCTTAAAAGAAATCTGAGTTCAGTGTAAGCATTCTTGTTAGTTTTGAATAGTTTTTTTTTGAGTAGATTAGTTTTCTTAACATTCAGATTGGCTCAGTTTGTGATTTGCAGTCTTATTCCTCAGTAGACTGATTCAGTTGCCAACAGTAGTAGTCCTGCCACTTTATCAGCACAAACTTAGATCTGACATCCTAGTCTAATTTCAGATCATACCAGCATCAAGTGAAAAATATTGTTTTGGCTGGGTTAGATTTCATGACTTAAGATGCATGGCCTCATTTGTTTTTGAAGATGTGAGTGTATGGATGGGAATAAGCTGGTGAGATTGGATGGGGTTGTTTTTAATAGCGTTAGCTTGGTGACCATGAAAACAACTTAAATGATTGTAAAAGACTGTTCTTACAGAGATTACTTAAGGAAACTGAAATGGTTGCAGAGCTTTTGAAACTGGCTACAACATCAGATGAATATGAAATAAATGTGTTTTGTGACAGAGCTTTCTCAGTCCTTTTCTGTTGAGGTTTTCCTTTCTTTCAGTGTAGCTGTTTTAAACACCTACAGGCCTCACTAGGTAACAAAGTGAGTCATGGCAGAAAGCATGACAAGTAAGACTGTCGCCGTACCGTCTCTTCATGGCAGCTTCTACCTACAGTTCCATGAAGAGAGTGCTCTGGAGGTGCCAAGTTGGTGGTACCTTTAAACACCATTTAAACTAATGGCTTCAATGAGTGAGTGGCAAATAAGCTAGAAGCAGGAGAGGCTGTGTGATGGGGAAGGATAAAAAAAATTGTGGGATCACAGAATGGTTTGAGCTGGAAGGGACCTTAAAAGATCCTCTGTTCTCAACAGCCCTGCTATAGTCAGACACCTTTCCTTAAATCAAATTGCCCAAAGCCCCATCCATCCAGGCTTCAAGCACCTTCAGGGATGGGATATCCACAACTTCTCTGGGCAATTTGTTCCAATGCTTTACCACCCTCATAGTAAGGAATTTCTTCCTAATATCTAACCTATACCTACCCTTCCCCATATAATGGGGAATATCTATCCTAAACCTACCCTTCTGCATAGATAAAAAAAAAAAAAAAAAAAAAAAACCAAAACAAAAAACAAACAAACAAAAAAAAACACATTAGCACTTTGTCACAGAATCACAGAATGGCCAGGGTTGGAAGGGACCTCAAAGATCACCAATCTCCAACCCCCCTATCACATGCAGGGCCACCAACCTCTACGTTTAATACCAGACCAGGCTGCGCAAGGCCCCATCCAACCTGGCCTTGAACACCTCCAGGGACGGGGCATCCACAACCTCTCTAGGCAGCCTGTTCCAGCACCTCACCACTCTCTCTGTAAAGAACTTGTCCTATCACTGTACTACTTGTCAAGTCTCTCTGCATCTTTCTTGTAGGCTCTCTTTTCATTGGCCTTCTAGTACTTAAGGTTTCCCCAAAGCCTCCTCTTCTCCTGTTCAGTCAAAATTCCCTCAGCCTGTCTTCTTGGGAAAGATGTTCCAGCCCTTTGATCACCTTCACTGCCTTCCTCTGAATCTGCTCCAACAGCTCTATGTTGCTCTTACACAGAGTCCCAGTGCTGGATGCAGTACTGCAAATTGGGTGTCAGAAGAGCAGAGTAGAGGGGACCGATCATCTCTCTTAAACTGCTGGTCATGCTTCCTTTGATGCAGAGCAGGTGATGCGATGGACTTTCTGGGCTGCACACTCACGCTGCTGGCTTGTATGAAGTACTTTCAGATGTAAAGTATTTAAATAAGCGCTTCTCAAAGTTGTTAAGACTTATAGGTTAATGCCTATGAGTAAGTGCTCCAATTATTAGATATCTCTATTCAAGTGTTTGCAGACCTTATTCTTGCAGATTTTAGGTATAGTAGAAAGTCTGTTGGTGCCTTCTTCCAAGGGTGATTCATGCTCTAAGGCTACTATTAAGAAAACTTCTATTAATCATACAGGTGGTAAAATATATTTTCATATACTCCAGCATTGCCATACTGAAGCAGCTTATTGTGTCATTGCTGACTACTTACCTTGCTGTCAACTTCTGTATTCTTAAAAACATACAGGTTTCTCAGGACCATGAAACTATGGCTCAAGTTCTTTTCAGCAGGAATCTGAGGCTGAATGTCGCTTTAACCTTTTGGAGAAGGAGAAGTATAGGTGAACTGGTAGCCTACCTATTGAGGTAAACTTGATTTTCTCTTCCCTTATGTTCTTAAACTGGTAGCAAAACCAAATATGATGCAGTCTTTTAGGATTTCCTTAAATCTTGTAAATTATCAATAATTACTTATTAATGGAAACATAGTTCAACCTGTGCTCAACTAGTGATACTTATTTTATCTTCCATGTTTCTAGGATACAAGATCTTGGAGTTGTAGTAGACTGCCTTCCTATGCTTACAAACAGGTACAAACAGGAAGTGGGACATGCGAATGTACTATGCCCACAGAGAATTTCTTGCACTTCTGAAACATCTTGTTTTTTAAGTTTACAGGAAGAAAAACCATATATTTCAGTTGGCTGCTGTGTAGATCTTTTGCCTTTAGTGAAATCACTACTTAAAAGCAAATATGAAGAGTAAGTATCAATTTCAGATGTCTAAATGCCATTCCTTCCTGGCTATGTGGTATCCATGTGTTTAAAGATGTTTGGTCCTCTGACTCATCTTCCTTCCCACCAGCCCTGCCTTTCTTGGGGAAGCACCTACCTAAAGGAGCTTCTGTATAAGCCTTCATATTGTTTTTAATAGCATTCAGGGGTTTAATTTAAAACAAACAAACAAAAGTTCTGCAGGGTTAAGCAACCATGGGGGAGTTAGTTTTTGGCTTCGTGTAGGTATATCATTCTAAACAGTGAAGCACAATGGCAGCAAGGTTTCAGCATGTTCTTTAACATAAGATCAATTAAACTTTCAGGTATAACATAAATAATCTCTTACTACTTTTTAAGAAGTACTTTAGTTTACAACTTAAAAAAATGAGAACATGGGCAATTGCCTAAAATTGAGAATTTGTGCAATTCTGTCTGTTCCAAACCAGCAAATGTGTGGCTTTCTAAATTGCATTTGTGCTTGCATGAAAGTATTGGCTGACTTGTGGATATTTGAATTGTATAAAATGTTATTGCAGATATGTGATAGTTGGTCTAAACTGGCTTCAAGCTGTAATTAAAAGATGGTGGTCAGAACTATCTGCGCATAAAGAGAGGGCAGAGGATGGGTGAGTATAGTGTTGGAAAACATTTAAATGTTTCTGTAGCTGATTTCATCTCAAAATCCCTATTAGTGCTGATCAACAGGAGCGCACCTTTTTATACAAAGGAAAAATTGATGCTTACAATTTGAAAGTAGAAGCTTAAAAGCATTTAAGTTCTTTAATTGTCAAGTCACAGGTGGTGTTTGGAAATTTGTTTGAAAGATTATCATTCTTGTATTTCTTTTGATTTTAACTTCTAGCAAATAAAGAATATAATTATTGGGATATTAAGTGCTGCAGAAAAAATATTGATCTGAGTTTATGCTAATATTAAGACTAAAGCGATATACAGCATGAAACACCTCTTTCAATCAAAGTATGGGAAACTGTAGTATACATGTTAAAAACTATTATTGGTTGTTTTTCAGAAATATGGTTATTTTAAAACAACAATTAAGTGAATTATGGGAACAAGAAAATCATCTTACTCTGGTTCCAGGATATACTGGTAATATAGCAAAGGTAATCCAGTTACAGTTGTTCAGTAATAAGTATAGTTATGCCATTTATACATGTGGTTTTCCTCTTACTGGATGCTATTTACTCTAAACTATTAAAGGCTAGAACTGTATCAGCTGTTAGAGTATGTTTCACCAATGCTCAAGTATATTGCACAGTCCTTAGTCTGAAATTCTAGTATTGCGGTTTAGGATGCTGATGAATTTTTATCTTTTCCGACCTTTATAAAGTATCTCCTTAATGACATTTAATAAAATAGTAAATAGTAATAAACCTTAGAATGTTCAAAAAAAGGGGTTCAGATAAGTAAGTAGACTGTGAAGCACAGGTGTTTTCTTTAAAATTTGCTGTACCTCATCTGTGTGTAATGCAGCGGATTCTCACTCTGGCAAGTGGTGTTAGCATTTGCATGTTAAGTTACCAGGGCAAGTGACAACATGCTAAATTCTAAATCTTTTTTCTGGCCTAATGCTTAAAAAATAGTAATTTTGTGGAGGGCAGAAGAGCAGCTCCATCTGAAGTGAATGACCTCTGTGCCCTTCTTGGCATACTTACAGTATCAATACTATGTGTGATGTCCGATTAATACATGGTTTGCTGTGTGTGTTACTCATCTCTCTAAAGGTAGTTTTCTGAGGCTGGGCACCAAAGCTTACACTGAGGAAGAAACCTCCCTCCCACTGGCATGACCTGAGAAAGGCAGGGAATGAACCAGAACATAAAGCAGCCATTTAGAGTAAACTTGAAAAGAATTTAGTGATTGCCTGCTCTATTTATATGTGTAGGAACTTGGTTGGATCTACAACTACTCAGAATCTTACAGTACATAGTTACATAGAATTTGTTGTATTGGTGAATCGAGCAAATAAGTTTTTTACCCTTCTGGGACTGCTCTGCTTCCCTGTCTGGAATTTTGACATCTCTACAGGGCTAATTACAGGCTTCTTACAGAGTCTCAGATAGTTGATATTTAGAAGAATCAACTAACTCTCCACTGGTAGAGCAGTGGTAGCTTGTAATATAGATTGCCCAGTTCTTCTGATGGATCAGTGTAGCAGTTACTGCTAGCATCAGTTTTTCCTTCTTTCTGTTCGTTTGCCTCCTTAAGGTTCTCCAGGATGTGTGTGACCAAGGGCACAAGTGAGGAGCAAAGGAAAAGTATAAGAATGTTGGAGGGGTGTAGGGTGGGTAACAGTGACTCTTAAACATCATCATTTAGTGAGATTATGTCTATGAAATATAGTTTTGTATCCTGCCACTGGTGTTTGTGAAGTGAGCAAAGAAATGCTAAGTTGATGGCTTTAGACAATTAGTGCCACTGTGCTCATAAGCATAGCATTAAAAATTGTTTTTGAAAGAATAAGAAAAAAAACAGTCCTGAACATGTGGATATTCTGAAATTTGCCCTAATTGTAATTCTTATATTATGGTCCTGATTGAGTAACCTATTCTCAGACCTACAGTTGGTATTATAAGAGTAGGTAATATGACAAACATTGTCTTTTTTTTTTTTCTTCTAGGATGTAAATGCTTATTTATTACAACTGTGCTGACACGACTGAGAAATGATGCGCTTATGTGGTGAAACAATCCTTTAAAATGTTCCTGAAATACATACTATTTCTGAAAGCCTTCTGAAAAATATTGGTGGAAGAGAACTGAACTGTCAAGCTGTTTAATGAAACCACTAACGAAATCCTAACAATCTACTTCACATTGAAGTGGAAAAATGTCTAGTAGGAGCAACTTTTACTTCAGTGAGGTGAAACTGCACTATGAAAACTGTATGCCTTTGCTGCATTTGGGATTCATTCAATTACTAGGTATTCACTGTTTTCCTACAGCGTTGCATAAAAAGATGAATTCAAGTGGTTCTGCCGTCTTGTCTGACTGACAGTAATAAAGAACCAACACGAGCAATCGGCATTAAGAGCTTTTAGTGTTCATTCACAAGAACTCCAAAATGCACAGCTATCTTCCAACTATATTAAAGACAACTCTGAAATATTCAATTATTTCTTTGTTTTAACTGAAACTAAAGACAGTTTTTGTTTGCACTATTGAAAAAGCATACAACAAAAATGCCTTAATTACTAGTGTTTGAAAAAGCCAATGTGTTGAGATGTAAGTAGCTATTGTATGTTCAGACTGTGATGAAAAAGTGCTACAGAAGTCAGGGTTTCACATTGTGTAGTTGTTCTTGAAACATTGCACATATACAAAAATTAATGTAAGAAAAATAATATGAATACCTGAACTTAAGCGTGGATAAGCAGTTATTACAAATGTGAGCAGAATGGTGAATATACCAAACAAATTTTTTTTATATTGTATGTGGATTTCTAACATGATATCTTGTTCTGTATCATTTAAACTACATGCAAATAAGTAAATATATTAAATGTATCTACTGTTTTCTTCTCAAGTTCATAAAAATAATTTCTAGAACAATTTCTTCCACAGTACTTTCTATTGTAGATATTTATATCCGTTATTTGTGAAATGTTTACAGCCAGACAAGGCCATTGTTACTCAAGTCACATCCTTCATATTCTACCTCCTTTAAGGAAATGGCAGATAGCTTTGCAAAATCAATTACTAACCTGATTTAATGCTGTCAAATTAGTACTATTTTAAACTGGAAAAAAAAACCCAAACACAAACATTGAAAAAACTATCAACTTTTACTCTTCTACTGTTGTTCTTTGCTATTTTAATTTAAAAGCTATACAGTAGCAGCTCTGAGGGAGTTTTGATTTTTAGTCTTGTTTCCATGTTTTTATCTTCTGGTTAGGAAGCATGCTTTTCCAATTAAAGCATATAAAGTGCCAGTTTTTCAATTGAACAGAAATATAACACCAAATCCGTTTTTTAAAAAATTAAAAGAAGAATGATAAAGTACTTGGAAAGGTTATTTTCATGTCTAGCATAAAATGAATGCACTTTTACTGAAATGTCAGGCAAAAAGACTAGTGTGTTTTATTTTGTTGTTTGTTTTTTTTTTTTTTACTTTACGGATGAAACAGATATCTTACAAATATCTCAGATACCTTACAGATGAGATTTAAACTCAAGTAGTGGTCAACAGCTTTAGGCCTCCTGTTACTTCATTTGTAGTTTATATTTTATTTATGCATCATTATTGCTGTTTTCTGAAGACCAGTTAGAAATTGATCATCAGAACTTGGTGCTCTTTGGTTATTAGAATATTCTTCAAACTATCAAATGTATTGTGCTACAGGCTATCAGCTACAAGGAAGAATGTTTAGACATCCCAAGATTGCAGCTTTCACTGGGACAATCTCCTGAGATATACATAGCACAACGTAGCTGGAATTATGTATAACTAGAGGTATTTCACGCCACAAAGATTTTCAAGGCAGAACTTAGTGTTTCTCAGAATGTTTTTTCTGTCTAGTAAAAAAAATTGAACTACAATTCAGTAATGTTATTTTCTTTACTGTTCTTTAGAGCACTGATATATAAAGCTAACAAAGGCTTGGAAAGTAACTGCTGGAGCTCTTAGATGGCTCCTCAAGGAGCATACTCTAAAGGTGGTGGAAACTCAATTTTTAATTTTTCCTGTTTTTGTTTTTTTTTAAATAGATAAGGTGAAAAAATTCATGGCCATATAATTTGGATACTACAAGAAGTAATGACTAATTAAAATGAAATACTTTACTGTTCAAAAACTCAGCTCAATAATAGGTATGAACATGTAGTCTTAAACTGAATTGTACGTATGGCCATGGATTTAATAATATATAACCGTGGATGGTGCTTTTTTTAAATGTCAAGATAAGATTGTCTTTAGGATTATTATTGATGAGTAATAAAATAATGCATTATTTTTTAACTGCCAAAAGTTGTATTTTGACAGCATCAATAATACAATATTAAACTTGAAGTCATTAGTATCTGTGCCTTATTTAAAATGATCTTATATGTTCAGAAGGCTTTTACTTGAAGAGTGAACTAGAATTCCCCCTTCCCTTAAGCTGAAGTTACAGAAGCTTTCTAGGAAATTGACTCAAATTTAAAATGTTTTCATATTAGGTAAATATTTATAAAAAATAAGTACAATGTAGCTGCCAGAGTATAGGCAGTGCTGAAGAATGGAGGCTGAAAAAGCTACCCCATTAATGAGCTGGATATGAGGAAGCTAGCATGACCTAACCATTATGTGCAACTCCATTTGGAAGGAATCGCATCTCTTTCTTAGTAAAGAGTATTCTGCAGTGGAACACCCTATCACAGGTAGGTGCTGCAGTTCCAGGCTATATAGTAATGCTGACAAGTAGTTAGTGGTATTAAAAAAAAAATGAGCATTCACTTTCCAGGAGCTTATCTTCAGGAGGGAGACATAGTTTAAGTCATCTTAAGGCTGCCTTATTGTTATCAGAGGCTGCAGTTTTTAGTGTCTTGGGAGCAGGAGAGGTGAAAGAATAGGCAAGGCCAAAAAAAAAACCCAAAACATCACTCCATGTCCTCAACTGTGACATCAGTCCCATTAGTTTATTTTGTGTATCTAAAGTAACTTGTGTTTTCTTTTTCTGGTGTCTGAAGTAGGCACATTTTGTACTTTATGCGTTGCATTGACGAGCAATGAGTTTTTTGAAGACATGCTAGTATCAGGGTTCATTTTTTCCTTTCTTGAAGAAGTGGATGTTCTTGTATGTAAGAAGTTTTGCATAAGAAAGATTCATCTTGCAACTTAAATATAGCTGCTTTACAATGTTCATCTTGATAGGTCTTCCATTATTACAGAAGTCTCAATATATGGAGATCTGCAGCTGTATTTTGTCTCCAGTCTTCTGGTGCAAACAGTCATATGGCTTAGGCAGCTATTTGAAAGTACAGAGCAATGCAAATCATGCTACTGCTATGAAGTTATTCCAACCTTTGAACAGTATGATTCTTCAATTTATGAAGGCACTTGGTTCTTGCATGGGAAGCTTATACTGAACTGATGTTCCATTAGAGGAGAAAAAAAAAAAAAAAGCAGCTCTTAATAGCCTGTGTAAATGTCAGACATAGTTTAATATCTGTCTTCAGTCTACCTTCCTATATGTGATAGTAACTGTAGGCTACAGCTAAAGAATTGCTGAGAGAATAATGTGAGTGTGCTTTAATCCATTATTTTAATTCCCTGTTAATTGTTTTGTTTTCTGCCTTGGAATGAGGCTAAGTGCAAGTATTTGTCTCTGGGTATTTCCCCCATACATTCATTTTTCAGCATTTAATAATGTTATTTCTTCCTCTTTGTAGTCTAAACATACTGTGAGTATCTGCTGTTGAGTTGAGGAAGAGTGAAAGTTGACAAAATAAAGGTAAGACAATTTGAAAGCTATTGTTAAAATTTTTCCTCTTAAACTTTCAACACAAATTTTATTAATATCTGCTAATGGAAATGGACATTCATGGCTATATGCTTGAGTCTGAACTTGATTTTTTTTTTTTTTTTTTTTTTTTTTACTCTAAATAACCATAACTGCAGGGTAGTCATCTTTTTTTTTCCCCACGAAGGACTAAGTTATACTCTGATACCAACCTGTAATATGGGGACAGGGCTATGGTACTGTCTCTTAAGGTAGAAATGACCACACAGACTTGAACTATTGGAGGCCTACAGCATTTTTGCTTCCATAATGGTGAGAGTTTTGTAGTGAATGTAGACTACAAGAGTATAAATGGTGACCTCAAAATGAGGTGTGTTGCTTTCAAGTTAAATGTGGCACGTTTCTGATTGACACAGATCCCTGCTTTAATTCAATCTTTACCTGGAGCGATGTGGGGTAAACAGACACCAATAGTCAGTTGCCCCATTTCAACATTTGTATGTTACTGTAACAAGATGCAAGAAAGCAGTTTTTGTTTTCCAACAGTTCTATTTTTTCACTCCTTACTACTACAGCCATTTAAATTTTCTTCAGGAAGTGCTAGTCCCCAAAATACAAACAATAAAAATACTCTTATGAATATATAAAGTAATACATTTATGCCAATAATGTTCTGTTAATTTTGGAAGGAGACTGTTCTCTGTGCTTGACTTGAAAGAAACAAAGCTAATATATTTTACAGAGATAGCAACCATTTTGATTGTTACTTTTTTTGAGTGCTGTATGTATTGTGAAACTACTAAATATCAAAATAGTATTACATTGCAAAGCGGCCTGCTATGGTGGGTGTGTTGGAATAAATACACACCCTAGCATCATACTTTAATGTGAGCTATAAACTGTTTCAAATATCTCTTGTAATTCAGGTAGATGGTTCTTTTTCAAGTTGTAGTTCATCAGTGTAGCTTTGTTTTCAAAAAGTCAGAACTATTTGGCTCTTGCAGTTGTTATCAGATACTCCATGGATTGAAAGCTGTAGTCAAATAGTTTAACAAATATCTTGGCGTCAGAAAAATAGTCAATATTTTGTGGTAACAGGCTTTAATCATGTTGCTCCGTTGTTTTAAACAAGCTTATCTCCTCTGCATATTTCTAAATACATCTAAATATTTTCTGTAAGGAAAATTTTTAGAGGAGGCTAGAGGAGGATTGCTACTTCCAGGGAAATGCTTGGATTCAAAGAAGTTGCATAGATACACTTTTTCCTAACAACTGGCTCTGTTGTGTCACTGTCAAGTTGTGTTACCACATGTGAATTTGCTGTTTAATAGTTGGTCTTTGGTCTAGAAGGATGGTACTGGAAGGCTGAAGTCTTAACTCCTGGTGCTAAGAAACCAAAAGCTACTTCTTTGCTGATAGAACTTCTTCAGTGAACGCAGGAAGGAGCAACTTGCATGTCTTACTTGGAGAGTGCAGATAACTTATTTCTTTTTATCTCTGCTTATAGTACTTTGTCTATAGCCAGTATAGGTCTTTGTCTGGAAGCCAGTAGGCTTAGGTGTTGTGTTTGTTTAAAATAGCATTAAGTTTCTGACTGAAAAGGAGGAGGCAAAAATGCTTGATTTTCATTAATGTAGCTGTGTGCCACCTAATGCTCCAGCTGGAGGAGAAAAGTAAATAATATTGTCAAGGAATTATAAGTGATGACAGGCATTGGTTTCATTGTACAAGCAGTGACCAGATTTTATTGTGAATGTGACGAGATTCTTGCCAGTGTTAACAAAGTAGTAAACTAAAGCAGCACTGAACAGTAACTGACAGGTTGTATTCCCTGTCTTTTACTCGAAGTCTAGAAGCCTGACTTTTCAATTGACTGAAGTTGGTAACTATTGTTCAAGAGTTATTTCTGGAGTAATTCTATGCCAACAGCAAATACTAGCATTAAAAATAAGCTGGGCAGTTAGTTGCCCTGCCCGTTAATCTGCTATTTGGGCAATGGAGCAGTGCTGCTAGGGGTTCTGCTAAAAGCGTGTACTGCCCTCAGAGCAGGGGGCTGTTTGGTTTTAAACACATTACAGAAATTCTGTGTACCTGACAAGGGTGCCTGTGCTAGTGGAAGATTCAGCTTTGATGTAGGAAGTGTTTCTAGTCCTGTGTGGCTAATTCCATTACAGTGAGGTACTCGAAGAGGGAAGCTTGGAGACTTGGTGCACGCAGAGCAGTCTCATTTCTTCCCACTTGCTGCTCTTCCACCCCACTGACATGTTGGAGCACATCTGCTTGGCAGAGTTCCCAGCTCCACATCAACCTTGTCACCTATCCAAGTGAAAACAAAATGCCTTCATGTTTGATATGCCTTGTTTCCCAAGTGATGTCTTGTATTTTGAGCCTTCCTGCTTCTTACTGTAAATCAAATCAACTTAGGGCCATTTGTCTGTAAAAATATAGGGAATAAAGAAGTACAATGCTTGTACTTCTGATGATAAATATATGAATGGCGCCACTTTGTTTAGTCCTTACATTAATACTGGAAACACAAAAGAATGCACATTAATATAATTGCTGTATCAGCTATTAGGTTTAAGTCAAAATTGTTGTTTGTATGAATATAAATAGTGTTAAAAAATGAGATCCTTGAAAAACTAGTGATTAAAAATGCCCACAGTTCTGAATGCTTATAAAAATTGGCAAACTGGTGGCTTGTTAGAGAAAAATCATGCTGCACAATGGTGTGTGGTTTAGTTTTGAGTTTTTTGCTCTTTATTCACCGTGTCTTCCTCTCTAAGTACAGGATATTAAACTTGTTTGTATCTTGAATTCTCATTTTTGTGAGCTTATGCCTTTCAGTGTTTGACCCTGTGGAAAATTAGCAGAGATGGGTGTAGTGAAGATGTTTAGCATTCTTTTTCACAGTTTGCTGGGTAAGCATGCCTATGGAGTTGTTACTGTGCAGAATTCTCTTTCACTTCTTTCTGCAGTGCGTTTATACCTCTCCTGGTGGTGTGTCCCTTAACGTCTGTGAAGGGATTCTTTCCATTTCAACTCTTGATTTTTAAATAGCAACATGTGCTTTGTTTCATTGTTATGAAAAACTAAATGCTTAAAAACTAACCCAAAAGCTAGAATTCATTCATCTCCAGCATAAAGTCATGTTGTGGTCAGGTGACAATAAATGCTGCCACCCTCCTTCCACTTGAAAAAGAGACATAAGAATGTGCATTTGAGGGTTCCCTGAAGTTAGCAGTCAGCTTTCTAGATTGCTTGACTGTTTTTTTGCATGACCTCAGCCACTTCATTCTGCAGGGCTGTAAATAGGAGAACGCCCTTGGACTGTCTTCTTAGAACTGGCAGCTTGCTAACATTGACCTTCACCTTGGGGACTAACAAGGAGTATTCTTACATTTCTGTATGCAAGCTTTGTTATGTATTCCTGATACTTTGGTCAGCCTGCCAATGGTTTTCTGTAAGGTCTGGAAAATGAGAGTTTAGCCTCATGTCTGGTTTGGATTAAACAGTTCTGGAATCAATAATTCTGTCTTTGTGAAAGATGACAAGACCTCTTTCTCCA